GCATTCGTTTATGCCGCTACAGCACATCCTTGACAGTTCCTAGGAAAGTGTGCGTGTCTGAAAGTCGCCGCAGTATCTACGGTTCTGACTGCTGATTTCTAAGATTATCAAATTTTAAACAGTGTAGTGGTACATGCCTTTAATCCAGCACTCCAGAGACAGAGGCAGGCAGATATCTATGAGTTCAAGGTCAGCCTGGTGTTTATACTGAGTTCCAGGACAGCTGGAGCTATGTAGGGAGACCTTGTCTTGAGAAGAAAATAGAGTATCAATTTTTTTCTTTTAAAATTAAAAACAAATTTAAAATACAAAGCTAAATCTCACTATCTAGCCCTGGCTGGCTTGGAACTCACAGAGATTTGCGGGTCTCTGTTTTTTGAATGTTGGGTTAAAGGTGTGAGCCACCATACCTGGCAGATTATCAAATTTTAGATTAAAATAATTTCTCTTCAGAATTTAAAGACTTTGTTCCAGTTCCTCCTTATCTTATCTTCAACTCTTATCTTTGTCTGTGAGGTGCAACCACATTTCCCCACTCTAGAAACATTCCCTGCATCCCTGATGTTCTGAAACTACAAGATGAAACATAGAGACAGGATTTCACTTTCTGTACATTTATTGTGTTGTTTACTTGGTTAGTTTCCAACAATACCATTGTAGTAACAACAGACTTTCCTCTTAGTGACGAGTCTGCACCGTCTTGCTTGCCGTCCGGCCCTTCTGTCAGTTCTATTATTATTATAATTATTATTATTATTTTAGAATGAAGTGTACTTGATCTTTGTGTTGTGCTTTTGCATTTAGTTTTCAAGTAAATTATCTTTTTATGTACTTTTGAATTTGGTTTGAAAGTAATTTATTGAGAAAATTTTCACCTATGTTCAAACGGGAGTTTGTTTTTCCCCCATTACTGTGCTTATCGGTTTTATTGTCAGGGTAAAACTGACTTCATAAAAGGAGTGTGCCTTGGTTGAATTTATTTTAGAAAAGAAGAATAAGATGAAGAAGGGAAAAGGGGAAGACTGAAGCAAGGGGAGGGGAGGAGAGGAGGGGAATGGTGATTCAGAGACAGCCATGTTTACTGGGTTGATTAAGCGAGTTTTCAGGGAGGCTGAAGTAGAAGGGAAGTTACTCCTAGGGAGCAGGGTTTGACCCATAGTGAAGTCACAAATCCAAGTCTCGGGAAGAATCTTGAATCATGTATTCATTCGCTAAAGAAATGCTTATTGAGGCTATAAAAGTGGCGCTTAAACAGATTCAATGCAATGCCCATCAAATCCCAGCAAAATTCTTCAAAGATCTCGAAAGAATGGCCCTTCTCCCATCCACTCTGCTTTGCTAAAAACCATTAGATCACATTCCAAAAGCTAGCCACCAGGGTCTAGTCCCATATTTGGTCACTTCCTTCTCCCGAGGCTGACTGCCAAGGTCCAGCTATCAAAATATTATAGTCCAGCAATCAGAATCCCCCTTTGGTTTGCCTAATTAATATGCCCAATTAAAATTAAACACGTCACAGATTCAACGCAATGCCCATCAAAATCCCAGCAAAATTCTTCAAAGACCTCAAAAGAATGCTACTCAACTTCATATGGAAAAGCAAAATACCCAGGATAGCCAAAACAATCCTGGGCAATAAAAGAACTTCTGGAGGCATCACAATCCCTGACCTCAAACTCTACTACAGAGCCACAGTACTGAAAACAGCCTGGTATTGGCATAAGAACAGACAGGAGAACCAATGGAACCGAATAGAAGACCTAGATATCAATGGATATATTTTCAAACACCTGATTTTTTGACAAGGAAGCAAAAAATATCAAATGGAAAAAAGAAAGCATATTTAACAAATGGTGCTGGCATAACTGGATATCAACATGTAAAGAAAAATGAAAATAGACCCATATCTATCACCATGCACAAAACTCAAGTCCAAATGGATCAAAGACCTCAACATAAAGCCAGCCACACTGAACCTCATAGAAGAGAAAGTGTGAAGTACACTTGAATGCATTGGCACAGGGAACCACTTCCTAAATATAACCCCAGCAGCACAGACACTGAGAGAAACAATTAATAAATGGGACCTCCTGAAACTGAAGAGTTTCTGTAAAGCAAAGGACACGGTCAACAAGACAAAACGGCAGCCTACAGAATGGGAAAAGATATTCACTAACCCCACATCAGACAGAGGTCTGATCTTCAAAATATACAAAGAACTCAAGAAATTGGACACAAAAAATCATATAATCCAATAAAAAAATGGAGTACAGACCTAAACGTAGAACTCTCAACAGAGGAATCTAAAATGGCTGAAAGACACTTAAGGAAATGTTCAACAACCTTCATCATCAGAGAAATGCAAATCAAAACAACTCTGAGATTTCATCTTATACCTGTAAGAATGGCCAAGATCAAAAACACTGATGACAACTTATGCTGGAGAGGTTGTGGTGTAAAGGGAACACTTCTGCATTGCTGGTGGGAATGCAAGCTGTACAACCCTTTTGGATGTCAGTGTGACGATTTCTCAGAAAATTAGAAAACAATCTTCCTCAAGACCTAGTAATACCACTTTTGGGTATATATCCAAAGGATGCTCAATCGTGCCACAACGACATGTGCTCAACAATGTTCATAGCAGCATTGTTTGTCATACCCATTACCTGGAAACAACCTAAATGCCCCTCGACTGAAGAATGGATAAGGAAAATGTGATACATTTACACAATGGAGTACTACACAGCAGAAAAAAATAACAACAGCTTGAATTTTGCAGGAAAATGGATGGAGCTAGAAAACATTATTTTGAGTGAGGTAACCCAGACACAGAAAGACAATTATCACATGTACTCACCTATAGATGGTTTTTAAACATAAAGCAAAGAAAGCCAGCCTACAAATCACAATCCCAGAGAATTTAGACAACAATGAGGACACTAAGAGAGACTTACATAGATCTAATCTACATGGGAGGAAGAAAGTAGAAAAAGACAAGATCTCCTGAGTAAATTGGGAGTATGGGGACCTTGGGGGAGGTTTGAAGGGGGAGGGGAGTGGCAGGGAGGGGAGCAGAGAAAAATGTAGAGCTCAATAAATATCAATAAAAAAGTGGCGCTTAATTAGAATACTTTCCAGCTGTTCAAATGGACATCTGTCCAAATAGCTATTCTACAAATGGTTGGTGTTCATAGAAGGACGCCCAAAATCCTTAGTCACTAAGCAAATGCAAATTAAAACCCACAGTGAACCATTCCAGGCCCATAGGAGGGCAACAATCTGAAAGAATGACGTTTGTGGCCGGGCAGTGGTGGCGCACACCTTTAATCCCAGCACTCGGGAGGCAGAGGCAGGCGGATCTTTGTGAGTTCGAGACCAGCCTGGTCTACAAGAGCTAGTTCCAGGACAGGCTCCAAAACCACAGAGAAACCCTGTCTCGAAAAACCAAAAAAAAAAAAAAAAAGAATGACATTTGTGGCTTTCTGTATTGGTCTCTGGTGCAAAAAGAAGCATCGTTGATGAGGACCGAGAGCTATATTTATCTGTGGCTCTAAGGATAAGTTTTAGAATGTGGTCAACATTCATGCTCGTTAGTAGCACGTAGTAGGCTCTCCTCTAAGATCTGTTTAACAATCCTCTTGACAGCGCCTACCAGCTGCCCCAGTGGTACCGCTCTAATCCGCCCAACTCTGCTACAGGGCTGATAGGATTGTAAACTGCTAACCATTCATAGTGACTTTAGCGGCAAGCAGTCAAACACTTGCAAAACAGTGTGATAGGTTCTCACACTAGAATGTTATGGAGTATATCATTATGCTGCACAGTCGTCAATCAACACTGTCTACTGAGGCCACACACAAATGATGTATGGCTATGACTGTGAAAAAAATTCATTCCATAGGGACAGGATACATTTTGAAGGGCACAAGGTACCAGAGGGGAGATTAGTGGGGAACGGACACTAAAAGGCTAGGGAATTGTGTAGTACGATAAAAAGACCTTGGAAATCTATGGCTGCTTAACAATTTGAACACACCAAATGACACTGCCTTATTAGCTACTCTAAATGAGTGGTTTTCAGTTTAAGCACACAAAAAACACAAGCACATGTGTATGAATGCACACACACATATACACACACAACACACATGCACACAAACATACATATACACACATGCACACATACACAGTCACACGTGTGTGTGCGTGCGTGCGTGCAAGCACACACACACACACACACACACACACACACACACACACACACTGTGATGATCAGTCCCTGTAGCAAAAAGAAGGAATGATACTCTGCAAAATCTGGGTGCAGAGCCCTGCCCCCTTGCAGCTGGCTGATTAATGGGACTGCGGATACCTCCTGTTGAGGTTGAGGACTTTCAACCAGGGAGTTAGAGTTACCAACCGAAGCCAAAGGAAGGTGGGCAGGGATCGCTATATAATCTGGGAAGGCAGAGAGGCCCCTCTAGGGAGTGTTTGTGCAGAGACCAAGCTGAATGGGGAGAGCTCTCAGGAGAGAATGCCCTAGGGGACCAGGAGACAAGCTCCAAGTTCTGAAAGGGAACAAGGCTGGCACGCTCGGCGTGAGACACTTAACGACTGGCCGAGTGTCCAAGAGGACCCTGGGAGAGTTTGAAGGATGTGGCTACACCATGCATGGTTGTGGACATGGGCAGGGCTGTCAGGTTTGTTCTAAGTAGGCGGGGAGACCTCAGAGGATTACGGGACAGTGGCATATTGACCAGTTAAGGGGAGCGGGCGTCTAGCAGTGTTCATGGTGACTTTATCCCAACTCTCCAGTCCACTGCTAAGCAGACACAGGCACTGTTGTGGTCCAGGACTCTGACATCCTCCGTCCTGGGAGCTTAGACACGTGCTGCTGCTGTCAGAGCAAGCTTGTGTGGTGTCATTGTGTGGATTTGCTGCTGGACAGGGATGCCAAGTGGGTTGTGTAACAAAGACCCAGTGCCGTCTGTTAGAAGACCTGATCAGTTCTTTATTGGCAAGGGTATGCAGTCTGATATTCGACAGATCTGGGATCCCAGAAAGATGTCAAGCTGAAGATTTAGTCTGTGTCCTGTAATCTCATAAGTGCCCTCAAAAATGCCACGGGTATGGCAGTTATACCAGCGCCACGACACCTGGATGATTCGGATGGCACTGAGCAAATGGAGGTAGACCTGGCGGGCATGCTGCATTCGGAGCCATGACTGAATAGTGACACAGGCCCTTGTTTTTTGTACCATCTGGTGCAGAGCCTCCGTGCGTCTCTTCTCCAGCTTTCTGGCCAGTATCTTTCTCCACCAGCACTGAATGATCCAAGCACTGAGGGCAGCCTTCAACAGTGTGCGTCGCACCAGGGTGCCTCGCCACCAGGCCTGGATCTTTTTGGCTGCCAGCTTTTTATAAGAAGGAGTCTTGGATGGTAGTTTTGGCAGTGGTGGTGTTTTCTTGAACTGGGGGTTGGAAAGTAAAGAAACATTATTAAGACGTATTCCCCACTTAGCCCCAGGATACTATTGGAAGGGGCCTGACTGGATGCTAATGGTCATCACTTCCTCTCAAGTTGAAGAACACTGATCAGTCAACCACTGACCCAGGAGACCAGGAAAAAATGCCAGCACTATTTCCATCCTGTTTCTGGTCTTCTCTCTCTCTGCCATGCCAATTAAAAAGCACACATCACCTTGTGCCCTGAGTGTCAACCTATAGAAGGAGAACATTTGCTCAATTTAGAGAAAGAACCTTGTGACTCAGAGGCTCCATCTGGACTGGACCACATACGAGGCCCACGGCCTCTCAGATCATCTTCCGTTTGATGGGAAGCTAGCATTCTCTGCTCACTCTTCTTGCTCTTCCTCTATCTCAGCCTGCAGCCTGACAACTCCACCTGCCAGGTCCTAACATTAAGCTTCCTTCTCCATGCAGGTTGAGGTCTTTATCACTCTTACTTCTTTTGCTTCTAGTACCTTACACATACACACACACACACAAACGCTTCCTGAACAATCCGGGTGTGATCTATCCCCTGACAGTGTACAGCCACGATCTAGACCTCACACCCCAATCGCCAGCTCTTCTGGACACTATTCCTACCCTTCCTCACACCCATCTCCATGCCTGAGTCCCTGTCTGTCTCAGGTCAGCAAGGAAACTGGAGAAGAAGACAGCCACTGGTAAGCAACCTCATCTTTGTCCATTTTAGTTTGGAATAGGGCAGCTGCTTATTCCAGCTAGCTGGAGACAGTCTTGGTGTCTGACAGTTGTTTTGACAGTGAACATCCCAACCCTCTTTCTCACACAAGGATCCTGTTTGAAGCATAAATTCCATGACTGCACTAAGCTATGGGGCCCAGAGAAGATCACTGTCAGTCTGGGTGACGTAGGTTAAAGATAGGAAAGATCACAGATCACCTCCAACTTCGAACTACCTACCTTTGGAGCAGGCAGAGGTGTGGATTTTGACTTTTTGTTTTTCTTTTGTGGGTTTGGTTCTTCTTCCACAGGGATTTCTTTGGCTTTAATAACCTTTATACCAGAGTTAAGGGGGAAAACTGTAAGTGGGTATCTTTTGAGTGGCTATGTAACTGTTTTAGCATATGCCCAGTTTTCCTAGACACATCCTCATATCCTGATTAATTAGAAACCAGTCGACTTCTACAGCCTATAACTTACCCCACACAGACAGCCCATGATTGGAGACAGATGGTTCAAATCTCCCAGGCCTGCAATCCCTTAAATTCCCCCATGGATGGGGTTATGATGGCACCATCATCTCAGGTCTGTACTCCTCCTGCCAGGAGGCTGGCAGGAAGAGTGAGGAAAGGGAGCCCGTGATGATGTCATAAGGGTGCCCGTGATACAGGAATCAGAATGGCTTATAAGAATTGGGTAGGATCTCATTCATTCCAACAGAAATTCCCAAAGTTGGGCTTTGAATGGGGGTGGAGACAGAAGGTAATAGTTCTCCTACCCTGTTGGCAGAAGTGTGACTTCAACTACTATGAAGATGGTCCGGCAGGCTCCAATAGTACTAAATACACACCCACCCTCCAACTTAAGGCCCCACTCCTGCATAAACGTGAAAAATGAAAACGTATCTTCAAAGTGTATACACATGGGTTGAGGTTGTAGTAAGTCACCGAGCAAGCATGAAGCTCTGGGTTCAATCCTCAGCATTGTATAAACGATATGGGTGTGCATACTTGTAATCCCAGCATGCAGGAAGTAGAGACAGAAGGATCAGGAATTCAAGGCCATCCTCAGCTATATCCAGCAACTTGAATGTAATAAGTTTGAGGCTAGTCTAGGATATAGGAAACTATCTAACTAAAACCAAACAAACAAACAAAAAAAAACTGGGTGTGTGGCACTTGGGTGGCAGAGGAAGATGGATATCTCTTAAGTTTGAGGTCAATCTGTTGAAATAGGAGCGGCGGGGCTGCGTCCCCAGCACCCGGCCACCCCCATGGCTAGCTTTACCCGAAATAATTACTCAGAAACTGTATTCTTTTAAACACTGCTTGGCCCATTTCTATCTAGCCTCTTCTAGGCTAGCTCTCACACCTGGACTAGCCCATTTCTAATAATCTGCTGTAGCCCACGAGCTGGCTTACCAGGAATGATCTTAACCTGCGTCTGCCTGGAGTGGGAGAATCATGGAGACTCACTGACTCAGCTTCTTTCTCCCAGCATTCTGTTCTGTTTACTCCTCTCACCTATGTTTTAACCTATGAGGGCCAAGCAGTTTCTTTATTGCTTAACCAATGAAATCAACAGATTGATATATGACACTCCCCCATCACTTCCCCTTTTTCTGTTTAAACAAAAAAAGGAAGGCTTTAACTTTAACATAGCAAAATTACATATAGCAAAACAGTTATCAAGCAAGAATTACAGTTACAATATTTATATCTTTTTTATCTTTTATCATAACTAAGGAAAACTATAACTATCTATTCATTCTTCAACTCCATCAAAGACTCCAGAAGAATATAACATTACCTAAGCAAACAAGAAATCCAAACTCTAGAAATGACAGAGATATCTTGCTGCCTGGACAGTCACCCAAAGTTCCTCTGCACTGTTGGGACATCCATCTTCGGCCTACAGGCCCATAGTTTCCAGCAGACATTTCCATGAAGCAGGAAATTCCAAAGACAGTTCAGTCATTATCTGCTGTGTCCTGCAGAATGTCTCACAGACTCTTTCATGAGTCATGAACACTGAAAGACCATCTCACCTTTAGGCAAGTTCAGCAGTCCTCTCTCTGTGGGTTCTCTGTGTCCATTTTATGCAACAGTCCAGGCAAGAGCAGTTTCTTGCCCAAATGGCTATCCAACTCCATACGGATCCTCTTCAATGCCCATCTTCCTCTCGAAGTAGATTGGTGCCGCCAGGAGCAGATGTGTCTCATTGTCATGAAAAGTCCTAAGTTATTAAAACATTAAATGCCATATTCTGCAGTCTTTGAAAGATATGAAGAATGTCTATCTAACTGAAATGTATCTCTATATATCTAGAAAATCTAACTAACATGACTACAAGCTTGACTATTACTGATGATTATCCATTAACCTATATTTCTTAATTATACATTACATTTTCTAATGAACTACACAATCACAATATCTTAATCAATAGCAGAAATATGCATATACATATAACAAAATTGACCTTAAATCTCTATCAATAAAGAAAAATCTATACTAATGTAAATTATTTATATCTATATCATATCCCCCTTTAAATGTAAAAGAACATTTATAAACAATATTTTGGGAACATGGGCGCAGTTTTTTCTCTCCAAACTGCTTCCTGCTGAATGGGGGCGCTGTTAATCAGATCATTTAGGGTATAACCTGTGTGCCAGGTTTATCTCAGTTGGCAGTTGAGTGAAGTAACTTTTTGAGGGTGTTCACAGGAACTTTTCGGGAGGTCACGGTCTATCATACCATATCAGGATAGATGCAATCCACAGGGTCTGGTCCTCTGTGAAAACAAAAGAAGACCCTTTCCAAAGTATCATATCCTTAGACCCAAATTTTGAAATCGTATTACCCTTATATCCTTTCTGGTTTAGCTTGGCAGCCCATGTAATGAAATGTCTCTCTGTACTTAGCTCCTTCACAGTCAAAAATTTTAAAGAAAACACAATGTACATAATCCAGACTCTCTGTGAATTTTTCATTTTTACGTGGCTTATTTTTCTTTATTTCTTTTAATCTCTTAACTATCTGTACTCTGTCTCTTTAAAGACTTTACCTTTTTTTTTAAACCATTAACTTTATCTCTATATTCTTTTTCTTCTCTCTCCCAAGCCTATGTACATTCATCCAACAGTGTAACTCATTTAGTGGTCTGAATCTGTCCTATTGTGAATCTGCAATTTTTTACTATCCAGGAGCACTTTTGATTTGTGCCTTTAAATCACTAGGCGCTTAAGAATCTAAGCTGTGACATTCCTAGGTCAAAAACAGGTACTGCCTGCTGGCCCCGCCCAGTCCAACATGGCGGAGCCACTCGTGCCTCTGATCCTTGCACATTGCACCACTAGCATGGCGGAGCTGCTTGTGCCTCTGAGCTGCGGCACGCAATGTCCCCCTTTTAGGCACACAGCAGTCTAGTTGTCATCAAACAAATCATAGCACTTTACTCCAAATGCTCCATTCAAAAGCTCTGTCTCCCGCAGGAGCCAGACAGAGATTGCAATGGCGGCACAGCCCAGAAAGGCAGCATTTTAAAACAGCCAGTTTTTCCCTGCTGCTGAGTCAGGAAAATTTCAAAATGGAGGACGTTCCATTTTGTGGTAGCTCTGGGCCGCCAGGTAGGAGCGGCACTCAGCAGTTTAATTCTGAGACTGAGCATGCAGCACAGAAATTCTTTTCATTCAAGTTACATCCAAATCTGACACGCAGAGCACTGCGCAGTCTGAAAACACGCTATGCCCTTCCGCCTGCCTAAGCCTGATTCGGTGTCTGCCCAGGTGCATTTGGGGAGTGCTGAGCCATCAGCACGGTCTCAGAACACTCTCCTTCCGATCCCAAGTGGGAACACAAACATCCAGTCCCATAAAATCCATTGAAATGCTTTAAAGCCAGAGTTTGCACTGGCAGCACAGCCCCAAGAAGCTGCGCTTTAAATGACGCAGCTTTTTTTTTTTGCTGCTGTTGCCGAATCAGGAAATCTCTCTACAGCATGCCATCAACAAACAGCAAAAATCTGCATTAAACTCTCTCTCCCTTATTTTTAAGCCTTCTCAGGTTGTTAAGTGGATTTAGTCCATCACGTCTGGGCGCCACTCTGTTGTGTTAGGGGTGGCGGGGCTGCGTCCCCAGCACCCAGCCACCCACATGGCTAGCTCTACCCGAAATAATTACACAGAAACTGTATTCTTTTAAACACTGCTTGGCCCTTTAGCTCTAGCCCTTACTAGCTAATTCTGATATCCCAATCAACCCATCTCTAATAATCTGTGAGCACCGGTCTTACCGGGAAGATTCTAGCCTACGTCCATCCTGGGCCGGAGCTTCATTGCGTGTGTCTGCCCAGGAGCAGGGCATGGTGTCTCCTCAACTCAGCTTCCTTCTCCCAGCACTGTGTTCTGTTTACTACACCCACCTATGTTTTAACCTATGAGGGCCAAGCAGTTTTTTTATTGCTTAACCAATGAAATCAACAGATTGATATATGACACTCCCCCATCAAATCTAGTCTACAAAGTGAGTTCCAGGACAGCCAGGACTATTCAGAGGAACCCTGTCTTGAAAACAAACAGACAAAATATTTTAGGGCATGGTAGTGCACGTCTTTAATCCCAGTACTCAGGAGGCAGAGGCAGGCGGATCTCTGCTGTGGAATAATCATTCTGTACGCTGTGTGAATGAATATATGTCACTATGATTGGTTTAATAAACAAGCTGACTGGACAATCGCTGAACAGGATAGAGTTAGGTGGGAAAGCCAGACTGAGAATGATGGGATGAGGAAAACCAGAGTCAGAGTAGTTGCCAGCCAGAGAATGAATTGGACACACAAAATGGGATAGAGGTAAAAGCCACAAGCCTTTGGGTAGCACATAGATTAACAGAAATGGGCTAAGTTGTAAGAGTAATAAGTCTGAGCTATTGGCCAAGCATTTATAAGTAATCATAGTCTCTGTGTTAGTTATTTGGGAGCAGGCAGTTGGGAGAGGGAAACTCTACCTACATAGGGTGACCAGTGTCCAGGGCCATATATAGCCACATAGCACCTGAGAAAGCTTAAAAAAGGGTTTTAAAACCACAAAAAATTGAAATCAAGCGTGGCTTCTTGGTGACTGTCTTTCCTCAGGTGGGCCCTGTTTGCTAGTGCAAGCCGAGGCATGGCTCCTTTAAGATGTGGCTTCCTGGTTCATGCTGGAGACACACATGACTCTTTTGGGAGGCCTTGCTATGAAACACTTGAACCTGTTTAGAGTTTTTTTTTTCCATCTGAATCTTTCTTTATTGTGTATCTGAAATCTAATTTTGATCACATGAGCCTTTAAACTGCTACGTGGCGTGGCTAGGATCTTTGCCTCTGTTTCGGCGGCAGGCTCTACCCTGCTCAGCTTCGGAAGACCCTCGCCTCAGGACAGAGGTACCAGCAGGTGTCACACTGAACTGCCACAACTCTGGGGAGCTGTAGGTCCATGCTGCCACCAAGTAGCACAC